CAAGAGGTCAAGAGGAAGGCCAAAGAGGAGATATATGGATGTGCTAAAAGAGGACATGAAGTTAACTGGGGTGAGAGTAGAGGATGCCGAGGATAGAGTTAGGTGGAAACAGATGATTCGCTGTGGCGACCCCTAACGGGAACAGCCGAAAGAAGAAGAAGAATTCAGTCATATTTATAACCACAGGTATGGGGACAGATATACAAGTCAAAGAGGGTAGAGATCTTCACACGTTTCCAGGATTACCAACACGTGATTGGCACAGACATGCAGGAAGTCGGAAGCTACTGGGAGACAGACTAACACATTGTTGGTTTTAGTCCTGTCATAGGTCTTGTTGATCTCATGAATTCAAGAAACACAATGAGAGCATACACTTCCAAAATCCTGCCCTAGAACAGTCAGGTATGAGCTTCAGAAAGGGCTGAAAAAAAATGTACAGAACTAAAACTGCATTATTACTATCACTGAAGCTCATTTTCATTTTGCAGTTGTTGCATTAAGTAACACGAGTGATGACAAAGAGCTGCAGCAGTTAAAAGACAACCAGACGACCCTACTGGCTCTCACTTCCAACCTGACAAACCTCAACAACAAGATCAGCTCAGACAATGAAAACTTGAGGAAAAACTACACAAATCTGAGAGTCCAGTGTGACAACCTGACACAAGCCTCTGCTGTCTTAAAGAGCACGATCACAAGCCTGACTGCAGAAAACCAGGACCTGAAGACACAGAGGAACAACTTAACACAACGAATACAAAACATGGAGAGAAACTCGAATGAGCTCAACATCAGTCGAACTCAGTGGAGCATTGATGCCTACTGCCCCAGAGAAAGTAATGGTATGTTCAGATCCCATTAAACAGGTCCAGAAATAACCAATAATAAAAATATCACAATACAGTCACATTGTTTAAATGTTGGTCTCTGTTGTTTCAGGAAGAAAGTGTAATGCTTGTCAGAAAGGCTGGGAGCTCTTCCAGTCCAGCTGTTATACATTTAATGACGCTGAGCCCCCTAATCAGAAAACCTGGGAAGAAGCTCGAGAAGACTGCAGAGGAAAGATTTCAGATTTGGCTGTTATAGATAATGACACTGAGAAGGTAATGAAGAAAATGTGATTTATATAACAGCCTATATAAAATGAAAAAGTCTGAACACACTGAATCTGTAGATCACAGTGTGTTTATAGTGTTGACATGTCACTGACAACTGTGTCTGTGCTGTTCTCAGGGGTACATTGATAAAACCAAATGGTTTCCAACTGGAATCAGTGGATACTGGATCGGCCTGAGAGCTCAAGAAGGGACATGGAAGTGGGTCGATGGAAGTAATCTGACTCAAAGGTGAGAGACACAATCCTAAACACTGTGAATCATAAAATCTCTCAGCCTTGATCTAACCATCAGCCTCTTCCCTCAGCTCTTGGATACAACAACCTCCTACCAACGCAGGATCCTGGATACATGGTTAGATTAATTACATGTAAGATAATTGGCCCATAAATAAACAATAAAGAGTTTTATTTCACAATGTAAATGTTTGTTTGACCAAAGTACCTTTAAAGTGAATCATGTCTCTAAACTGGTTGTGTACCTGCTTTATGTCTGAGGCTGAGAAAAGCCACTAAATAGTTAACTAATAGCTCAAAATGAGTTTTTCTAGTACACCAGAACACAGTTAATTCTGACTCCAACTTGTAAAGTAATGCAGCTCCATCTGTTGGACAATCAGCAGCAACTATGTAACGTGCTTCAGAAGAGGAATGGGAAGTTCAAAGAAAAGCCCATTCAGGGTTCAACCTATCAGTTTCCACACTGCAGTCAAACCTGAGAAGGTTACTGGAATAAGCTGTTATGACTGTTGACATGTAAGACAAGTGGCTTGATACAGAAATGTGAGCTTGTTGCTGCAGAGAAGAACAGGAAATCTAACATATTATGGAAGTATCACTTTGTGTGTTTTATAAAGAAGAATTTAATGTTTGTCAGATTGTGTTTCAGTTTTTTGGTTGAGCTGCAAAGAGGTAAAAACCTGTTCAGGCCTTAATTTGATTGTGGGCAGTAAAGAAGCTCAGTGGTTGAGCTCTGGTCTCAACCTCTGGAAAAAAGAGTTTAAAAAAATTCATCAACCCAATATTTAATGCAAAAATTTGCATCCTCCTTTATGTAATGTTCTATAATACTCAATTTGTCTGCTATGTACAGCCCTCTGCAAACCAAGGAATAATTTTAAAGCAGGACTAAAAACCACACACTTGTTTGATAACTGGTAGCTACGCTGTAAGAGACACTGACATTTCCCATTGAGTCCACATAGATTTCTGGTGAACTTGAAACTTTGTTTGGAATGAAGAGGAAACCACAAGAGGTGTGACTTTTAAAAATCCAGGTGTTTCTTTGTCTGCAGGTAAGATGCTTCAAAATTCTATTCAACTCTGCATCTTTCATTTTCACGGTATTTTTTCATAATGCATCGTGTTTTCTGAAGCATGACAATACATTTCTTCAGAACATATTTGGGGTTATTTCTCAAAGTAGAACAAATTCACTGCAAATATTTAAACGCCTGTTTTCTTCACATGTGCATGATACCGTCTATGTGATCTGTCACCGCATTTGAACGCAGCACACTATTCTTTAACCAGTGTATTAGGATGTCTACTGTATATCCCTCTTAACGGCTTCTCTACTGCGACTGCGCAATCGTGTGTGCCGGAAGCAACGTCTTTGGTATCCGCTAGTACTGTAAGTCAGCTGTCAAAGGAAAATCAAAACTTAAACTAGCTAGTTTGGGCCACGGGTTTAAGAACGGTCGTAAATATTATCGTCACTATGCTTTGTCTGAGTTGATAAAACGAATGAAACAAACGCAGTTAGTTAATTTGGTGAATTACGGTAGCTAGCGGCCAGCTAGCTTGTTAGCTGGCTAACTGAGAGCTCGTCACTCTGTCACTAAGTTGTGTTCAGCATGGACTCCACGGCGCTGGAGCTCGATGCTGTCAAATTTGCCAGAACGGCTGTCACCTATGACCAGAAGGGCAAATTTAACGAGGCTTTGTTTTATTATAAGGTAAGTAGTCGTATCTTTTAACTTGACGGGTGTACATCTGCTAACTGTCAATGTTAGCACTTAGCTAATCAAAAAGTAAACATTCACTTTAACTTGCATACTTTAGTTTGCCACTATGGATTGTATCTGTGTGTATCTGGACATATATTTACATCACATTTCTAAATGTAGTATGTATCAAATGCAGTAACATTTCATTTATAGTTTAGGTTTAATGACTGTCACTGCCAAAGTTTAGAGTAATTTCTTAATCTGGGTCTGTGTTCGTGTTTTGTCTTTTCCATAGGAAGCAGCCCAGGCCCTGATATATGCTGGCATGGCAGGGTCCAAACTGGAGGGAATCCAGGATAAAGTGAATGAATACCTGGATCGTGTCCAAGCCCTTCACAATGCAGGTAAGCTCACCTGACCAGAGGCACTGTTTTGTTTTGCTACTTTAGGCTGATGCTCTTCATCAGAAACAGTGACTGCAGAAAGTGGGAGGTAAACGTTTTTATTGTTGTTTTACAGTTACAGACATTCACAGCTTATGTGATGAATTCAGTTCAATTCAGTTTTACTTGTATAGTGCCAAAGCACAACAAAAGTCATCTCAGGACACTACATAGTAAGCTCTATACCTTACTGTTATTATTATTGTTATTATTATTATTATTATGGAGTAAAACCCAACAAATCCCCTTTAATGGAAGAAACCTCAGACAGACCCTGGTGGTGGGTGGCCTTTACAAAGGAGACATAGGGATTTTTACATTTAGTTTGTGTGTGTGGCATGGGTGTATTCAACTCTCTGCAGTCTGGTATTTGATATATATTAAATAAATTTAAGTTAAATAAAGTAAATTAATAAATTGGGCAAAATAAAGAAAAGGAGATGAAGAAAGGTAACAGCAGGAGATGTCACTGTCTTTCTGCTGTTTCCAGAACTTTCTCACTTTATGCTGTGTCAAATGTGATTATTTACTCCTCCATACTGTTCACCTACAGTGTATCTAATCTGATTTGAAGTCTCGCAGAGGTTAAGCATCTGTAATATTAGTAATAAATATGAAATTATTCAGGATGGTTCCTGAATAGGCCCTGTTGGACCCGGTACTTTTCACCACGCTAACTCTGAGAGACGAAGCAGTCCCAGTAACTTCAAAACAATGCTGATTTATTCAATGATCACAGGTAAAAATTAACATTACACGCTCAGGTATCTTGCACCTCCAACATGCACGCAGGCAGCTGAAAGACCCCCGAACCACAACAGGCCTATACATTATATCACTTCGGTTGGGCTAGCCCCATTCTACACAGAAACGTCAACCGAGACGTCTCCCGGTGCCAGCTTTGCAGCTGACCATGGCAGTAGTCAAAACATGAAGAAAATCAATGTGTGTGTGTCTGTTGATTGTGGTGTGTAGCTAAAAACATTCTAACACGACCTCTAGTGACATGTCATGACACTAAACATAAGAAAATATTATGGCTATGACTACAGTTATAGGCATCATAATAATAATATTAAACATCCTGTCTTCTAACAGTCATCAACTTTCTATCTAGTTATCCTTGACCATAAGCAACCTGCAGTAACTCATGAGCCTGACTAAGCATTTAACAGCCTGAGCTAGACATCCTGTCTACTCTAAATATTTCTAATACATCAAGTATCTAACTAAAAATACCTAACAGCTCTAAGGACATAGTTTCCCAACTGCTGCTTGATGAATTTTTCCATGACTCTTCTCACTGTATGGGTGTGTGTACACATGGGTGTGACCTCAGCCTGTGGGAGTGTTTTGTTAGACAGCCAGCGGGTGAGGTTTAGTACTGTGTGTAGCTGTCCTATGTTCCTACTGGTTACTGTGAGAAAGGCAAATTTTAGTGTAACAGCTGCTCTAAAGAGCTGAGTATGGTTTTCTTTGTTGGTCCTTCCAGAAAAAAATATACATATACAATAAATACAGTTTTTTTCATTCTTAAGCACATTCTTCACTGATCCGGAAATAATTTCAGTGTGAAACTGGGTTTTAAAACCAAAGTTTACCCTTCACTGACATAAATGTGATAGAGTTTTAGAAACACCTCGAGTCCAAGTCAAATGCAGCACAGATTACAATGTCCAAAATGTTCATGAAATTAAATCAGCAGCTCAGTTTCAACAAAACCTGAAGATTATAACTTTGGAGGACCTGTCATTCTAGGTTGCATCAGTTTTTGTTTGGTGTACCTAATGAACTGGCAACTGAGTGGAGTGCTGCTTCGGTGTTATTTAAAAGATAAAATCAACTGAAACTTTTTAATCAAAGGTGTTTGAAGGAATGTTCAACCAGTTTTGGTTGAATAAATTAGTTACAAAAACCAAACACTAAAACAAACATTAAAAAAAACTCTGCGATGATGCCTGAAAGCAGCCCGTATGAAAAGGTTTTTCTTGTTTATGCTGTAGTTGTAGTGCAGCTATTATCACGTAACATTAGAACAGCACTAACTGATGAGTAACATTAGCAGACGGAGGGTTGAACATGTCTCATATCTGGATTGAGGGACAACTTATTTTTCTGCTCAGCCACATAAGTAGTCCATTCATAATATGTTTTGTGTGTCCTTATCATTGCTTCCCTTGACCTTTGACCCCAGTTCAGGCAGAGAAGAGCGACCCGCTGAAGTCCCGGCAGCAGGTGGACCTGGAGCGTGCCCACTTCCTGGTCACACAGGCCTTTGAGGAAGACGAGAAGGGAAATGATGATGAAGCCATTGAACTCTATACTCAGGCTGTGGAGCTCTGCATTAAGACGGTAGTGCTTTCTCTCTCTCTCTCTCTCGCTCTCTCTCTCTCTCATTGTCATTTCACTTGATCTCCCCTCACATTATTCTTGCTTGCTTCTGCATTTCCTGTATGTGCACCAGTCTAATGAAACATCAGACCAGGCGCTGCAGACAAAGTTGAAGCAGCTGGCGCATCAGGCTTTAGACAGGTAAATGTTCCTCAGAGTTACTTCTCTTATCTTGTTGTACACTGCTCAAAAAATAAAGGGAACACAAGGGAAAATAAGACTTTCAACTATGTAATGAACAAGGTATTTAATAAGAATATTTCATTCATTCATATCTAGGATGTCTTATGTTGTGTTCCCTTTATTTTTTTGAGCAGTATATTTATGAATGATCACTGGATGAGGCTGTGTCATTTCCCTGTTGTACCATGACACCATCTCCACTTTAGTTCCAGTGTTGACTGGAAGCATTTCAGGAGTGGCATGTCTCCAAGGCCCCTGTTCATGGGCCAGAGTTTGTTCTTTTGTTTCCATAGTTTTGGACAAAAGTTGTTCATTATAACTGACTTTACATTCACTTCAGGGGTGTGCAATATATGTCGTCTAAGATAATATCTTAATTGTTGTTTTAACGATGTGCCAGCTGGTATTATCGAGTATGTCATTCACTTTACAAAAACATACCTCGAGAGTCCACACATTCCCTGTGTCATGTCTAGTTGATAGACTTCTGCTAGTGCACACTGAGAGTGCAAGCAGTATGTATACGATCAAGTTAAACTAGCCTTGCTGCCTAGAATGAAGTTAGAAATGAATGAACAGACATCGCCAAGGAACAAAATATGGACACCAAAAGCCTCAGAGTCTAATTTAATTGCTAGATGTGTCCTCACTCGCATGGAGGTGTTTTGGCTTTGAAAGACAGATGTTGCTCAAAAACAGCAATCTGCAAACTAAGCCAGAAATAGGTTGCCATTAAAGACAGCTCCACAGCTTGTTTCACCATCTGTGAACTAACCACTGTTCAGAATATGAAAAGCTTGCCAGTCCATCTCAGGGCTTGCACTTAGAGACAGACACCCACACACACTCAGTGGCAGAAAGCCTGAGTACCTGGAGAGAACCCACACAGGCACAGGGAGAACACGCAGACTCCACACAGAAAGCCACTGGGTTGGCACTTACAGATATTCAGGGGAGAATTGTACATGTCAGAGATGCACGTTGCCGCAGCAGAATATTTCTGGAATGTAAAAAAATCAGACCGGAATACTGAATAACAAACTCCACAATGATTGTTTTAGGGCAGAGGGTCTCAAAGATTCCCAGGCCAGATCAGCTTCATCTCAGACTCAGGGCAGGACTGGTCCCTCTGGAACCAAGCCCAGTAGTGGCGGCAGTTCTGGGGGACCTGTCCGCCAGTTTTTCCCCCTTGGGCCTGATTTCACCCTCCATGACCGACCCCAGCCAACCCGGGCGGTCCAGTCCAGCGAACCCCAGGGTCAGCGTTACACGTCTGAGGAGATCGAGGTGCTCAGGTGAGTCGGCTGCTGGAGTTTGTTTTCCAGTGGCACTGCTGTAGAAGGATTCCCTCAGGTTGCTGTTTGACCCCAAAACGTCTATAAATACTGTGTCCAGTCAGTGAAAGGTCCAGGCAAAGATAAGTTTAAAACCTCTTTTAGAAAACAATTTCTAGAGTTGTTTTAAATCTGCAGTGAAGGTATGGTTATATATGAACAGTCACAGGGCTCACCAGCTTCATATTTACATTGATCACATTTCAGCCACATTTTTATGAGCTCTTTGGTGAATATGAGATTTTTAAAGGCCCTTAACATGAACAGTTCAAGACTGTTTTTTTTTTATGTAAAATGGGCTGCAAAAGAAAGAAAATATATGTTTTACTGGTCAGTCTGAAATAGTTTCTTTTTTTTATTAGTCCCACTTCTGACTAGAGTTGTTGTTTTTCTTTTCAAGCTGTTCTGTTGCACTAATTATGTCCTCTTTAATTTTCAGGAGTACCTCTACAGTCAATGGAAGAGCCTATGTGCCCTTCATGAGCGTGGACCTGAAGGAGAGATTTGCCTTTCCTGTCCCTTTCTCGTGAGTCTCGTAGAGTTTTGTGTCACTTTTTAAGGTTAACAGTACAGTGTCAAAGCTAATCTGTCAATGAAGCATTGTACTAAAATAGCTCTTAGCATGTATGCTATTTTTTTGTAGCAAAGCTACAGATGACAAGAATGTTCTCATTTGTCAGTGTGAAAACTTAGTCCTGTCTGAATTATCAGGATTTACTGGTAACCCACCAGAGATAACCCACCAAACTACTCTTATTTTATTTAATTATAAATGTAGTGAATTCTCTCTGTTTAATCTGCATCTCCATGTGGTTAAGAGTTGAGTGGTTTTCCACAGCTGTTAGCGACAACAAGCACACTACAGTAGACAGTTTTGTCATTCAGGATGTCCATACTGTAAATTTGTTCTCTTGATTTGTTCTGTACACATGACATCTGTCCATCCTGGAACAGGAATCCCTCCTCTGTTGCTCTTCCTGAGGGTTTTTCCATCTTTTACAGTTTTTTGGGGGAGTTTTTCCTGACCCGATTGGAGGACAGAGGGTGTTGTATGCTGTACAGAGTGTAAAGCCACTTGAGGCAAATTTGTGATGTTGGATTAAACAAATAGACTTTGACTTGACACACTTTGTTTTTATCAGGAAGAATTATCATCAAGTGTAAGTGTGTGTGCATTTTGCCAAGATTCAAATGATTAGTAAATTCAGAATACATCCCATCTCAACACAAAAAATTGGCTATCTGCAGCTTCATTCAAGTAATATTGGTGTCACTTGTCAAAGCTACTGCGTATCGTTTGAACTGCAGTATTTAAAGTTGGTGGTAAACAAAGCTTCACTGATGTTTTAGATGAGGTGTGGTGTAGTGGGCAAACAGAAAGAGGAGTCAGTGAGGCAGGAACATGTTGATTTGATTCGTTTTCTTTTTTAAAATTCTTCCAACCAGGGACAAAGCAGGGAACCTGGCACTGGCACCCAAACAGAAAGCCATCTTCTCCCGCTGGGTCCGGCCAGATGAGATCTGCAATAACCCCACAATGATCATGTCTGTGTCCAGCTTCAGCATCAAACAGGTCAGATCAGCCAACAGTTTCTCATCTGGGTCTTTTTAATTGTAGTGTGAAGGATTTAGTCCACATTAAAGTGCGGATATCAGAACAGGGCCCAATGGGAGCCATAGGTTACCTGAGGGTTCAGGCCAGGTTTGGACACATAGGTCAGACTTTAGTCTAGATGGCGGGAGCACTCAAATGTCTGCTTCATTTAATGATAAGGGGAAAAACACTGTACAAACTCAGCTGTGTTGAGCTCAGGTCAGGTTGGGGCATTATATACTATAAGTTTGTCGGGTTCAGACATTACACACTCGGACAAGGGTCAGGTTCGGACAGGAAAAACATGCCCCGGTCCATTCTGTAATCCACATCTGTGGCACATTTTATCTTATTTTGTGTTTGTATCTGAATATTAGGCTAAATAGAACATTTTGTCGTCTAATTTTGACCCTTTGCCTTTTGCCTTTGCATTTATTGAGGAAGACTGGGTTATTTCATCTACCGGTATATAATACTTCCAAAAAGAGTCACCCCTACTGTACCCATAGTTCTTAGCTGTACTCTACTATTTGTTTCTTTTCTTTTTGTAAAGTTTGATATGGTATACTGCATTTACTATGTGTGCAAGTTTTTAAATGTAGTCAGTAGATGGCGTGACATAATGAATAAGGATCTACATGGTAGTGGTATTAAAATAACCTTTGGCATGTTTAACTTTATAAATATGGTAGAGAATTACAGCATCCACATGCAAACTGTACATGTGTGAGTACTTGTCCTCTCCCTTGCTGTTTAGACGGTGGTGTCTGACTGTTCCTTCGTGGCATCACTAGCCATCAGCGCAGCCTACGAGAGACGCTACAATAAAAAACTTATCACCAGGTACTGTATGCTGCTACCAGGATTTGATCCAAATTTACTGTCCAAGGCAGATTTTACAGAAATGTTGTTTTCCTCCAGGATGTTGTTTCTGTCAGAGTGGGAATCCATCAGAAATTAATTCAATAAGACACAAAATTCCCTTGAAAAATTTCAGGATGATATAGTGAAATTCAACACTGCGGCGTGATAAAATGTAGCTAAAAAAAGGTTTCCTGTAGAACAGATCAGCTAAACAGTAGATTTACACAGAAGCTAAGCCATGTTGTTTTTGAGACATTGGGTATCTGATTCACGTTGTGTGTTACAGCATCATCTACCCTCAGAACAGACGTGGGGAACCAGAGTATAATCCCTGTGGGAAGTACATGGTCAAGCTTCACATCAATGGAGTTCCCAGGAAGGTAAGAGACACATTAAACACAGAGGGGAGGACAAAAGACATAACATACAACAGAATGATGTTCTCTTCAAATGCAGCTTCTGCGCACACATTTTGGAGATGACAGGAACCCACAGTGTGGTTTGCACTGAAAATACTCTTCCTGTCCTGTTTGGGAATAGAAAGGATAACTCAGAAACATGAAGGTGATAAACACAGAGAAGATGTATCCAACAGTGAAAATGGATGTACTTCTTATTTCTCAGTGTACATGTTGTGTGTTTTCATATAGCGTAATTCACGGGTGGCCAATTCCAGTCCTCGAGGGCTGCTGTCCTGCTTGTTTTCCAACTATTCCTGCCTGACCTGCTGCTGGTTACCTGGCTCAGGTGTGTTCAGCCAGTCGGAAGCCGGAAGATACCAATTCACTTTATCTTTCCTCACTCCACTTTCATCTAAGATGGTATCTTCCAGCTTCTGACTGGCTGAACACACCTGAGCCAGGTAACCAGCAGCAGGTCAGGCAGGGATAGTTGGAAAACAAGCAGGACACCGGCCCTCGAGGACTGGAATTGGCCACCCCTGGTAATTCATTCAAAATGTGGAACATATGTGTTTTTTAAGTTTTCACTTTCCACAACCTGGCTCTGTCCCTGCTGCAGGTGATTATAGATGACTTTCTGCCGGTGGATCGGAATGGAGAGCTGCTGTGTTCCTACTCCAGCAACAGGAACGAGCTCTGGGTCTCGCTGATAGAGAAGGCCTACATGAAGGTGATGGGAGGCTACGACTTCCCCGGCTCCAACTCTGTGAGTGAAGGTGGAGGAGCCAGGAAATGAAACTATTTTTAATCTAATTGTGTCACCTGCTGCAGTGACGTTGCTCAGACTCCAACACGAAACGTCTGGATGTGTTGATGAGCTTCCAGATAAAAATGAGTAGGATTTGGAGCAGGGAGTTGCTGAAAACGAGGAGAAAAGAAAACTTCATTTTAAAAAGACTAAATGTTTAAAATACTGGATTTAAAGTCTGGAGGGTTGTCATAAAATCCTGTTAATCACTTCCAGGTCATGTAAGGTTTGGAAATAGCACAAACTCTTCAAAAACATTTTCTGTAAAATATTGGCAGCTACATTGCAAAGTCACCCTTGACAGATATCCAAACAAGAGTCTTTTAAGAAATTAGCTTGTGAAAAGTTAATATTTGTTGTGTGTTACAGAATATCGACCTGCACGCGCTCACTGGCTGGATCCCTGAACGCATCGCTATGCACTCTGACAATCAGTCATTCAGCAAGGACGACACCTTCCGCATGCTCTTCCAGAGGTGAACAACAAACGCACACATGGGAGAAGTTCTTTCCTAGTTCATAATGACTTGCTAACCTTTTTCCTTTTCTCCCCTCTGTACGTCTGTCATCTCTGTGTTTATTTTCTCTCTGTGTCTGTCACTCTCATTCTTTGCTTCTAGGTTTCACAGAGGTGATGTCCTCATCACCACAGCAACAGGAGTGATGACAGAGGAAGAAGGGGAGAGATGGGGTTTAGTGCCAACACATGCCTATGCTGCTCTGGACATCAGGGAATACAAGGTGAGCATCTTTAAAGTAGCATTAGACTGTCACCAGAATCACTTGCCTTGATTGAGGGAAGGAGTATAGAGCAGACACATGATTCTTGTTTCCTTTTCTTTCCCATGATGATCTGTGAAAAATCCAAATTGAAGAATACATATAATTTGCTTCTCAAATTCCTGCTTTTAGAAACCTTCATTACTGTCACTGTTAAATAACCAAGTCTACCACTCTCTGACCAGTGGATATATTTTGTGTTCCTCCAGCTATGGTGTCTTTTCTAATTGATGCCATATTTGTGGGTGTGTTGTTTTAGGGAATGCGTTTCCTGCAGCTGAAGAATCCGTGGAGTCATTTGCGGTGGAAGGGGCGCTACAGTGAGCGAGACGAGAAGAACTGGACACCCGAACTCCTCAAATACCTCAACTTTGACCCCAAGACAGCACAGAAGTTTGATAATGGTACTGTATACCCATTCTTTCCTTAAATGCAGCAATTACAATGTGGCAGAAACGAACACTTTGTGAAGTTGCATAATATTGACACATTATGCTCTTCATACTGAGGTTATTATTTTAGCTGCTATCCTATATCACCTTCATATCTCCTGTCACAGTAAGGCTCTCTCATTTTACTGTATATCCAGGGACCTACAGTGGGGCAAATAAGTATTTGATACACTGCTGATTTTTCAAGTTTTCCCACTTACAGAGAATGGACAGTTCTGTAATTTTCATCGTAGGTACACCTCAACTGGGAGAGACAGAATCTACAAAAAAGTTCCAGTAAATCACATTGTTAGATTTTTAAATAATTTATTTCCATTTTATTGCATGAAATAAGTATTTGATCACCTACCAACCAGCAAGAATTCTGGCTCTCACAGACCTGTTAGTTTGTCTTTAAGAAGCCCTCCTATCCTCCACTCATTGCCTGTATTAATTGCACCCGTTTGAACTTCTCCACTATGGGCAAGACCAAAGAGCTGTCTAAGGACACTAGGGGCAAAATTGTAGACCTGCACAAGACTGCCTAAGGACACTGGGGACAAAATTGTAGGCCTGCACAAGGCTGGGATGGGCTACAGGACAATAGGCAAACAGCTCGGTGAGAAGGCAACAACTGTTGGCGCAATTATTAGAAAATGGAAGAAATTCAAGATGACTGTCAATCTCCCTCGGACTGGGGCTCCATGCAAGATCTCGCCTCGTGGAGTATCAATGATCCTGAGAAAGGTGAGGGATCAGCCTAGAACTACACACACAGTAAACATCCTGACACTTCATCCTTTGACTTGTGGTGACGCAGAAATTTAGTTTTTGCATAAAGCAAATTTGTGCTTGTTGGGTCACGCAAAGTCCCTCTGCTCAAGCCAGCACATGTCCAGGCCCGTCTGAAGTTTGCCAAAGACCATCTGGATCATCCAGAGGAGGCATGGGAGAAGGTCATGTGGTCAGATGAGACCAAAATAGAACTTTCTGGCATAAACTCCACTCGCCATGTTTGGAGGAATAAGGAGGATGAGTACAATCCCAAGAACACCATCCCAGCCGAGAAGCATGGGGGTGGAAACATCATGCTTTGGGGGTGCTTTTCTGCAGAGGGGACAGGACAACTGCACCGTATTGAGGAGAGGATGGATGGGGCCATGTGTCGCGAGATTTTTAGCAACAACCTCATTCCCCTCAGTAAGAGCATTGAAGATGGGTCGTGGCTGGGTCTTCCAGCATGACAATGACCCCAAACACACAGCCAGGGCAACTAAGGAGTGGCTCCCAAACCTGGCCAAGAACTAAAGGAAACGTCTGACCTCTGTAACTGTAAACAAAGGTTTCGGTACCAAATATTAAGTTCTATTTTTCTATTGTATCAAATACTTACTTCATGCAATAAAATGGAAATAAATAATTTAAAAATCTAACAATGTGATTTTCTGGAATTTTTTTGTAGATTCTGTCTCTCGCAGTTGAGGTGTACCTACAATGAAAATTACAGAACTGTCCATTCTCTGTAAGTGGGAAAACTTGAAAAATCAGCGGTGTATCAAATACTTATTTGCCCCACTGTACTTCGAGTAGAAATAAATTACAAATGATAAAGACTGGGGAACATACAGTATAAGCAAAGCTGAGGTATTTGAGAATGAATTGCAGATGTTATTCCATGAGCTGCCAATTAGTAACAAACCTTCATCTGAACTGTGTTTGAAGTTTGAGAGTTGAGAATGGATTCCCTGTCTTTTCTACTGTGAGGATGCTCCAAAACTGTCTGGCAGTGTTCACGGATAGAAAGCCAGGGAGGAATAAGTGCACAGGCTGAAGTAGGGGTCAGATTATTGTGGCATAAATAAAAAAAGAAAATGTTTGTATTTCATTTTTTTCTAAAACATGCTCAAATAGTGCGACCTTGGGTGGTGCCTCTGTCAGAAGTGTTGTTCAGCCAGCGACGGACTTTACTACCAGGACTGCTGCTTTGCAGCTGACCCCTGCATGAGAAAAGTGAATTAATATTTTACTGCACATCAGCATTAATGTGTTGCTGGAAAACCACTTTATACAGCCTTGTTGTCATTTTATTATCAAATTCTAAATGGTTTCATGCTTTACATACATTTTTCTGTCTTGTGCTGCTCTGCAGGTGTTTTCTGGATCACATGGGAGGACCTTTGTCAGTACTACGATGTCATCTACCTAAGCTGGAACCCCGCCCTGTTCAAAGAGTCCTCTTGTATTCACAGGTGTGTTTGTCTGTGCCAATTTCCACTAGATATCTAATAGGTAACTGCTGATTAGGAAACATCAGTAACCTCATAACATGTACAGTGCATCCAGAAAGTATTCACAACGCTTAACTTTTTCCACATTTTGTTATGTTACAGCCTTATTCTAAAATGGATTAAATTCATTATTGTCCTCAAAATTCTACAAACAATACCCCATAATGACAATGCGAAAAAAGTTTGTTTGAAGTCTTTGCAAATTTATTAAAAATACAAAATCATGTACATAAGTATTCACGGCCTTTGCCATAACACTCAAATTTGAGCTCTGGTGCATCCTGTTTCCACTGATCATCCTTGAGATGTTTCTACAACTTGAATTGAGTCCACCTGTGGGAAATTCTGTTGATTGGACATGATTTGGAAAGGCATACACCTGTCTATACAAGGTCCCACAGGTAACAGTGCATGAGACTAGTCAGGATCGAGTGCACGATGACTGCAGCAAAGTACAGAGACATCCTTGATGAAAACCTGTTCCAGACTGCTTTGGACCTCAGACTGGGGTGATGGTTCATCTTTCAACAGAGCAACGACCCTACGCACACAGCCACGATAACAAAGGAGTGGCTACAGGACAACTCTGTGAATGTCCTTGAGTGGCCCAGCCAGAGCCTAGACTTGAACCCGATTGAACATCTCTGGAGAGATCTGAAAATGGCTGTGCACCAACGCTCCCCATCCAACCTGATGGAGCTTGAGAGGTACTGCAAAGAAGAATGGGAGAAACTAGGCCCAAAAATAGGTGTGCCAGGCGTATAGATAGCATCATACTCTGAAAGACTTGAGGCTGCAATTGGTGCTAAAGGTGATTCAACAAAGTATTGAGCAAAGGCTGTGAATACCGACTATGTTTCTCAGCTGGCTTTCTAATAAATTTACAAAGATTTCAAACTTTTTTTTCACATTGTCTTTATGGGGTATTGTTTGTAGAATTTTGAGGACAATAATGAATTTAATCCATTTTTGAATAAGGCTGTAACATAACAAAATGTGGAAAAGGTTAAGCACTGAATACTTTCTGGATGCACTGTAGGTCAGAGTTAATTTCAAGTTTCAGCAGTGATCCTTCAAGTTTTGCTACTAAAATGTTGCAATTATTTTACTAATGTGTGCCATCTCTTCCTTTTGTTGAACTTAAAATTGAAATGTATGTACCTATACTGTAAATGCTTGATACTCACCAGAGCTGACTAAAGGAAAAATCAAGTCCTGTATGTTAGGCATCCAGTAAGGTTACTATTGTGACCAGAGTAGACAGACCCAATCTAAGATGTTTGTCGTGGTTTGTGTGCCATGCGCAGTAGCTGGGATGGGAAGCAAGGCCCAGTGAAGGACGTCTACAGTCTGGCAAACAATCCCCAGTACAAGCTGGAGGTCCAGTGTCCAGCAGGGGGAGCTGCTGTGTGGGTGCTGCTCACCAGACACATCACTGACAAGGTAGAGACACAGATCCCGTGGGACACTGACACAGTTGAAAGTTGTTCAGTACCAGTATTTTGGTGAGGTGACATTGCAATCCTCACTTCTCTTTAATGACTGTTGTTTGTTTGTCCAGGATGATTTTGCACAGAACAGGGAGTTTATCACCCTGGTTGTTTACAAGACAGATGGGAAGAAGGTTTACTATCCAGGTAAGGTTTGATATAAGATGTTTTCTCTCTGCTGTGACATTATTACAGCAGATGGGTGCCTGTGGTTCAGGAGGTGGAGCGTGACTGTTGGGTTGGCAGATTAGTCTGTCCCAGACCATCAGCTTTTCTGATGCATTGGTCAGTTCAGTGACAGCAGCAGGCTTTACGACAGGTTTCACCCCAAAACAACTGACCACCAAACAAACTCTTACTTTCATGACAAACTCGCAGGCAGTCACAGTGTCCACACTGAGTATTCATTGTAATTAACCCCCCGGCTCCCTCTGCAGCTGACCCCCCTCCTTACATCGATGGCATCCGCATCAACAGTCCACACTACCTGACCAAGATGAAGCTGACCAGCGCAGGGACGCACACCTTCACCCTGGTGGTCTCCCAGTATGAAAAGCAGAACACCATCAACTACACGCTGCGGGTGAGGAAGACTTTGTATAAATGTCTATGTGCACGTGTGACCAGAATATATTTTCTATCATTATGAGGCACAGACTCTTCTGAACTGCAGCGAGGACTGTGGAGAGCAGTTTATACTGATGTCATTAAAAAGAAACATGCACTCTGCACAAGTGTCTACTGTACACTGTGTGTTAAGCTCTCACTTCCTCTCTCTCCACCAAGCCAGCCCTGAAAATGATCTGCCCTCAGCTCCGGACAGCCTGTGTCTTTGGAAATCTCCTTGAGAAGAACTAATCAGCTCTGTTTTGACCAGAAATGAAAGCAAGAACAGCAGATGACAGATTTATTTAATGTGCAAATAGTCATGAATAATTGAACAGCTCTGTTTCAGAGTCATCCATCATTAGGAAACATTCTATACTTTGTCTTGCACAGTTGCTGATAATAACAAAGCAACATTAGATGGTCTGTTTGTTCTTTGCTAGATTGTTTGTTGTGTTCTTTTGCCCCCACGCTTGCTATTGATTTTTCTGTTTCTTTATGCTTCTTGTTGGCTTTCTGCTCTATACAGTTCAGTTTTCTAACCAACTGAGATTAGACTTAGCATCTATCTTCTTTTGTTTTGTTTTTTTAAACTGTCTACCAGCCAGGTTCATTCATTACACCATTTCATGTTCAGTGTGTTTCTTTTCGTAGGTGTATTCCGGGTGCAAATTCACATTCTCCAAGATCCCAAATCCCTTCACTCACACCAAAAGGGTATGTTGTCTGTACACCAGTTAAACAGAACTTATTTGTTTCACGGTGCAGTGTGTGATTACCATTCAGTACTTTTAAGCCTTGTCTGTGACTAGTCTGTTAGTCCTGTTGTATTCTGTAAATGCAGTGTCTTGGCCAAAGTGAATCTTAGTCACACTGATTGCTGACGTCTGTCTGGTTTCACTTGCCTCTGATTTGTTGCTGTTGGCCTGTTATTGGTCTGACAAGGTGGTCACGTTTGTGGTTCCGTCCTCAGATCAATGGCCAGTGGAAGGGGCTCAGCGCTGGGGGTTGTGGGAACTACAAGGACTCGTACAAACACAACCCTATCTATCAGGTGAACCTGGAGCGGCCAGGGCCGCTGCTCGTCGAGCTCCGAGGATCCAGGTCAGACTTGTACAGGGATAAATGGACTGAAGTAGTGTCAGCTTTACCAACTTGTGCCTGTCATTTCCTATTCAAAAGGACAGAGTTTAGGCAGATATTGTGGTATCTCTTGTTTAACACTGAAATGGAAACCAATGTTGAGCGCAATACAAATTTAGGAACTGTGCTAAACCTGGTGTGATCTCACTTCATTTGAACTGAATCTGGCAGTGTATTAAAGGACTCAAGAGAATGACGTGGTGGCTTAACACCTACTTATCTCCAGGCTCTCTCTCTCTTTGTCTGTCTCTCTCTCGCTCACTTACATGTGCACACATACACACACTTGTGACATGACAAATGTCCTGTTGCACATTTATCTTTGCATAAATCAAGTCATTAAGTTCATTTAATGACAGTGAACACAGAAGGATTCGAACAGAGTCTCAACCTTGGGGCTGGTGTATTTAGTTATGTCATATGAAATCTTAAGCACATCTGAAAATACTTTGTCACTGTTTTTACTGCATTGCGCTCCCCCAGTATTGTTCAATGAAAGTCAATTAGAAAAGAGGAAACTGTAAAAGAGCAGATTAACCCACAGGAAGTTTGAGGCTTAATGCAGCAACAAGTGATCCACACTGAGGAGCAACAACACTGTGAACACATCCTGAGCATCGTGTAGTTATTCTCTGCGTCTGTCTGTGTGTCTGCAGGCAGTATAGTGTCGGCTTTGAGATGATGACTGTGTCAACTGTGGGGGATCCAGGCCCGGCGGCCTTCCAGAAGAAGAGCAGTGGAGATTACAGGTACAGTGGGGAGAAGCCCACAGGCAGCCTCAGTGCAGAGAGCACTCCCATGTTCAGTCAGGTATTCTTCAGGCCAACAGCTGGGTTAAAACTAACCTCACTGTACACGCACAGTAATTTATGATACATAAGGAAAACTGCTAGCAATAATTTGATTGGTTACAAGTAATGACAGAATTCTTGTGGAGAAACCTGAATTAGAACATTCTTGATTTCACCTAACCCAGTAATTTACATGATAATGTTATGAAACCACACTAAGACAAACAAAGGGAGTTAGTGCTGTGCATTGTTTAAATTTTTACAGGTTGCCAATGAGGAAACTGCATCATGATAGATTCCAAAGGTTGTTTATGGTTAGTGTAGTTCAGTTTTTTCCCCCTACGATCAAACTTGTTGGAGAAGATTGCCTATTGGTCTGTCACTCATCAGTGGTTCCCTTTCACTTATGCTGGAGCCTCTGCAACAAAGGAAGTGTGCATTTACTTTATTCAGCTTTGACTAAGTGGATGTACTCAGTCAGCCAATAGAAATACTGCTCCAATGGAAAATGGAGATGTTATTTTCATGTTTCTTCATGACTAAAACACATCATTGTACTAGTAGAGTTCAAACTGTGGCCCCCTTTGAACCAATATATAAACATCCAGGTGTCGCTCCCTCTCCAGGTGTGGCTTCAGCTACATGGAGGTTGATCATGTCCCAGCAGGCATCTACAACGTCATCCCCACCACCTTCCTCCCCAAACAGGAAGGACCCTTCTTCTTGGACTTTGGCAGTACCTTGCCCCTGAAGGTCTCCCAGCTCCAATGAAGAAGGGCAGGGGCTGGGAGGATGGTACTTGAAGGGCATCATGGGATATTTCTAAACCTGTATGTGGATGTGATGAGGTGTCGAGGCCCATAATCTGTCAGCTCAACACCTGCTCAAACAGCCTTTTTTTGTCCTCTTTCGCTGAAAAGTCCGCTGATGTAAGTGGACAGACTGTGGACCTGAAGTTCAACATTGACTTGATATTGTAATAAAGGAATATGTTTTTAATAAGGAATCATCAAGAGGGATGTCTGCACGGAATAAACCCCCTCAACCATCAAGACATTTTAGGACATGATAAAATAAACTTTCACCAAAAATTAAATGATTAACAGACAATTCAGATGGACTTCAGTAGTCAACAGTAATCACATGACCACATTCTGGACGTGGCTGGATGTGAAGAAGCAACAGGGTAGAACTGAACGCCAGCCAGGAGCTGCAGATCGTCTCTCTTCAGGTTATGTTTTGCCACAGTGAGCACCTCAGCAATCCAGAGGTGACATCTCAACACTTGCTACTGGTTGGAATTTATTAAATGTTATGACAGCGATGTCTGAGATGAAGAAGCACCTGGCGGTCTTTTAATGTACAGCACATTTGAAGTGACAGTTGTGTCTAGTTAATTCATCCATGGCCCTGCCAAATTACAGTGAGTTTCTCCACAGGAAGCAGATATACCAATAAGTAGCTATAAACAGACAAAGAGACCATAAAGAATGAAATGTAGGGTCAGGAAATCCTTCACACTTGGATATGGAGAGGTTACTGAGTGTCCAGATGTTTAAGATGCTCATTACTGCAAAACTACTTAATAAGAGGATGCTGCTCAACACCACAGCCACAATATAAAACAAAGCTGTTGTTCAGTTTGATCCCAGCAGTCAAATAGTCTGGAATCTGTCAGAATTGTCAAAACCTTTTTAAAATCTCTGTGGATGGTGGATGGGACAGTTCGGTTCCTCAAATAGCCATGAATGTTCCTTGATCCTCAGGGGCAGTGCAGCCAGGCAGCACCACAGGGAGTCCAGTGTGGAAGCAGATGAATAATGTCTCTTCATGGTGTTTGCGAATGTGACGGCTGAGCAGAAGGCTCAGCCTGATTTCACTGACAGGCCTCATGTCAGCACTCTGTGCTGCCTGAGACGGGTATCACACTCTGGATATGTGATACCTGTTTGGGAGTGTGTGGTTGTATGGCTGTATCTTGTGATGACCAGTTAGTGAGTCCTCACTTTGTGACACACCTTCAAAGGGCTGTTTGAGGGTCCCGGTTAGAATCAGGTTTAGCTCAGTGGTAGGGGTTACTGAATATTTTGTCAGTGGGTGGCCTCACAAAGGTGGCTGTGTATATGTGTATGTGTGTATTTGTAAATGTTTTATTCTCATTTTAAAGGTGAAAATGTAAATGTTTTGCTATCATCTGTTTACCTTTTTTGTTGACATACAGCACTTTTACAAATAATTTCTCATGGTTTATTGCCAAACTCTAGATATGGAAATGAGCATGTCAATTCAACCAGCGCACGCAGCTGAATCAGTTTTCAGAGCGGCTCAGCTGGTGTGGGCACCATGCTTCCTCAGTTTGCAGGATGAAACCTTGCTTGTGGGTGAGGTCACATATTAGTAGCCTGTCATGTGCAGGTGTTGCTGCTTCTTCCTGTAACTCTGGCAAAGCTTTGCAGTCACCAACTCCTTGGCACTAATGTCCTCTTGAGGTCATGGAGGTGCCCTGGTGGATCTGCTGAATGTGAATCAGTCTGGGCTCAGTGTTGTGGTGTGAACCTGCCCAGCAGGATGTATTGTCATGTGAAGGCAGCGAGCCAGTAGCGCGCTCAATATGTGAAGACGTTTTGTGTCTGAAACACGTTTTTATGTTTTTGTTACAGTTAGACCAACCACCGGCCGGCCAGTGTAAATCGTTTTGAGGATGAAATTCATTCTTGCCATCAGGCACTGTAATTGTGATGAAATAATCTTAACGAAAGGCCAGAGATTTTAGCCACATCTCTCATGGAGCCGTCACGTAACAGCTGAACCGACTCCGCCCCAACGGAGTAATATGCATTTAATGATGAAAACTGTGGCATGTGACTGAAACACTAAGAAAAATCTATGCAAGTGGACCTTAAGTTAAGACCTGTCAAATTACCTTATTACAGAGCCTGGCTGTTGTCGGCTGTGGGACTATTTGATTAATCGACTCAGTTGTTTCAGTACTAGGCTCCATGGGTTTTCACCCCACTGCAACCTGTGTATTTTCAGTTCAGACCACATCAGGAGGCCACTGTGCACTGAGCCTGGGCAATATTACAAAAATATTTTCATCACACAGCACACAAACTCTATGATTTTCTCATGTTAAGCTCGAATATGATTTTCTCTTGTTTAGCTCGAGCTTTGGCTTTGCTATTGAATCATACAGTTTATTCTGACAAATACAAAATTACTCGACACTTGCAAAGAGAACTTCACACGAAAACGTGATTCGACTGCATGTTATTCCCTGTGCAAATGATGTATTCCAGCTGCAACAGAGCAAATGTTAACCTGGTTCAGTTACACTTACAAGGGAGCATGGTTACAATCTCTGCTTATAATCACTATTAACAGTGAGCCATAATAAAGCCAGTGCCAAGTGGAGGCTGACTCTAATGCTGGTGGCCTAAAAGGTTGGACTGTGCTTTTCATAGCTTTAAATATCCATTGCCAAGCACTTCTGTCAAATTTTCACCTGTTGGTTATAAAAAACTTTGTTATGTGTTGGTAGTTGGCAACATGCTGACTCACTCAAAGCTGCAGCAGGACAATCCTGCAGTGATCTGTTGTATGAATGGTGATGTAATGTTTGCAAAACTTGCACTAAATGTTGGCCAGAGTGAGGCATTAAAAAATTTAAATATATAATGTGTTGCATCAGCTTCTGTCTGTGCTCTTTTCAGTTTTATGTGGGAAGGGGAAAGCCCTTTTATTTCAGTAGTAATGTGTTATTCATACGTGTCCTGACGTGTTTTTGTCAGCGACTGCTGTATAAAGTGATTTGATCAAGGACCTCGACATGGTGACCAGCCAACAGAGGGTTGGGGTTTAAACACAGCCTTCTTTAACCAGTGAGTCGGACACGTGGCACCATCACCTTTTACAGTACGGTGATGGTATGAAGCTTAAATTATCAAGTGACTTGATCTACAGCATCTCCAGAAGCAAAGACCAGGAGGGATTCAAACCGTGCAGACTTTGCCTCATGTCTCTTTGCTGACAACCTCTGACAGAATAGACAGAAGCACGTTTTGGCATTTTACACTTAAGAAATGAAGCAGAAATGTTAAATGAAGAGGTAACACAACCACATTGATCTACTGGACCACATCAGTGCCCTTGATAATGGTCATTCTGATCTGTGGGACAGTAAATGGCTCCTCTTGAGTTAAACAAATGCAGCACTGAGGCAGCTTCTCTAAGATGGCTGTGAGGAAAACTCTCTTTGGTAAGTGTGTGATCTGTTTTTGCTTTCTTTGTTTTTGTATTTGTACTGTGTACATGAAGTTTACTGAAATCCTTTTCCAATATCATCCAGACCACGTCAGTGAAGGTGTCGGTTGCTGTGATTCCAGGATATGGCCCGGGAAATATGAGGTAAGTTCTCAAAATCCCTCAGTTCAAACCAAAAGCAGGAACCTAATTTAATGATTTAAAATAAATGCACACCATCTGTAGTACAGCTGAAATGGTGAGCTGACTAACCAACAGAAAAATTAATCATTTACATCATTTTTAAGCAAAGAGGCTAAACATTCCACAGTTTCAGCTTCTAAATTGTGAAGATCTGCTGCTTTTCTCAGTTATTATGAAGGTTTCTAGCACTAAGTTCATAAATTAAAGGAAAAACAAAAAAAAAACCAACTGCATAAAAAAATAATCAGGGCAAACATTTAAATACTTTGAAATCATGTCTTCATAATTAAAAACATATCGACCACACACCAGGCTGAAACAATGTAAAACAAGTAAAGTGGCCCACACAAAAAAAGGTTTGTCATTGCTTTAAAAGGGAAACTGGTAAAATGCATAATAATAATAAAATAAATATAATTGTAAAAAGTAAATGCAAAAAAGACAGCTGTAGTTTGTGCCGATGTGGCGCTCCTGTCAGCACTTTAATAAGGTGGAAAAATCCTAAAAATTTACAGAAAATAAATTGCAGTTGATACAAGTTAAGAATCAGAATGGATCGTTTAAATAAAATCACATAGCATGAAACATTTGGTACCAAAGATTTTTTCTCCTTAAATTATTAAAAACCAGTGCTGATATTTATGTATTTACCCTGTAAAGCTGTTAAAACTAAGATCTGTGAAAGCTGGTTTCACTTAAGATGTTTATAGATTTACACAGTATTAATGTGCATTAATCAGATTCATAACTGCCACCAGATTAACTGTAAACCCACTCAGGCCAAGAGATGTTTTCTGGCTCCAAACCCACCTCCAGTGTTTTATTCTTTTAAAAAGTCATTACAGTTAGAAAACTAATAGCTTTTCAGACAGAACAATTGTTGGTCACCTGCAATGCCTCAGCTTTTCTAGATGGTTCCTAATGTAGGCTGCTAACACTTTTCCATCTGATCAGTGGGATGTAATGCAAAGAGGAGGCCAGTGATGTTTAGACAGAAACAGAAAATGAACTGTCCTGTTGTGATTGTACAGATCAGTAGCATCTTTTCAATGTAGCTTTCATGGATAAGGCTGGTGCTATTCAATATTTTTAATCGTTAACAAACCCATGAGAAGACTGAAACTAGCAATAGGTTAATGCAGATCTGTCTGAGGGAACAGAGTCCAAAATGGAGGAAGCTGTTGTGCTATAATTTATTAGTTGTTCTGCAACTTCATCTTCTGTTTAACCTCCTCTGTCAGAGTATGACCTGCTCCTCCAGAGCAGTGGTTTGCAGACAGTTATGACACAGGAGCCGATGGTACAAACATGCCTTTTTAAAAAAAACAAACAAAAAAAACTGTGAATCTGTTGTCCTTAAACTCATTAACTGAAACTTGGCTCAGCAGCTCAGGGAGCTTTTTGCCATTTGGTCCTACAAGAGGATGGGAGTCTTTCAAAACAGGCCAACATATATTCTTCCACTTTAAAAGGTGAAGTAATTTAAAGGCACTGTAGTTCTTATTGAATAATATGCATGAGGAAATAGTGCACTTGTTAGGGACAATTTTCAGCAGCAGATTGATCCACAGTTGCTGATAAAATAATATATCAGCAGAATTTAAAGCAGTCCTGCCTCAAAGTTCATCAGAGAGACTTTACAGCAGTTTTTAGGAAAATGTGTGAACATTCAATTCAATTCAGTTTTATTTGTATAGCACCAAATCACAGCAAAAGTCATCTCAGGACACTTTACAAAGTAAGGTCTAGACCTTACTGTTATTGTTGTTATTATTATTATTATTGTTGAGTAAAAAAGCCTCTGTGTTGGTGAGCTCTCCTTTATTTGGGAAAATGGGACAGTCATTTAGATCAGTTATCACTTCTCACTGTGTGATCTTCACCTTCCTCTGCAAACAGTTTTTAGAACTTAGTAGGCGTCAGGAAAGTTCAGGATGAATAGTTGCTCAGTTTAGAGATTCTTACCTTTCACATTCCCTTATTTTAATTGTACATGGCCACAAATGACTAAGCTGTCCTCTCCAGCTACTTCACCCCCTCCCTTCTTTGTCTTGGAGGGCAGCAGCTTGGTGTCAAGGGATAATTCAGTACAAATAAAGGACAAGTCTGGCAATTATCCATATTTTTCTTATCAACAAACTGAAAAGTCTAAAACCAACAGTGAGTACAAGTACTCTGTGTGTGTTCTTATATCTCAGTGCCACAAAGCTCCCTCCCTGCTCATCAATGTAGTTCAGTCCCAGTTCCATGTAAACCAGTGGGAATTAATCCACCACTAAATATAGCCCCCAACCAATACACTGTAGCAGTGCCTGGAAAAGCAGTTGCTAAAATCTACAGTAGCCAACTTTTGTAGGAAACTACTGAGCCTTTGCTGAAAATGACACAGTTTATCAGCCCTGACTCAAAGAACTGTGTCCAGCGGGCTTGGAGCTGAGGAGCTGAGAGCCGCACTCGGAATAGGGCAGTCAGCAAGTATTAAAGGACAAACTAACACATTGTTGGTTTTGGTCACTTCATGGGATTTGTTAACGCTATCTAGAGTATCACCAGCATTATCCTCTAACCTGAGGGAACAAAATAAAGAGTAACTGAGGGAATGATTCAAGGGAACATTTTACTGCTGCAAAACCATTTTGTTCCTTTGGCTCCTCAAAGAAAGTTAACATATGATTCCTCACTCAAAGGCAGATAATTTCCTTCAGCCAATTAGTTATCACTGGTTTCACCGAGTAATGCTAATTATGCTCTGAAGCAGGCGGCTACTTAACTAAATAACTAAATATGGCACCTGAACTGACAAGACGACCAACAGAACCAAGGGTTAGGGTTGGGTAAAACATTCAACCCACCAACATGTAGCTTGGTGTTATAAAACATCCTGTCACCCTCTAAAACCCTTCACTGACAATCCACCCATGATTTTGAAAACAATTAGCTTTTCTCTCCATATTCACAAAACTGAGGAGAGGCTGAACTACCTGTAGGTTCTCTGAGGCTGCATGTCAGCAGCTCTGATACATGAGAAGCTGGAGTGCAGAATGGAAAATTCTGTTCTCTGTGATCCAGTTGTACACCTCACTTCTCAGTTTGAATCACTTCCAGGTGTAGTTGCGCAGCAAGATGATAATCTGACTTCACGCCTTTCTTTTTTTTTTTTTTGCCAAAACAATGATTAATTTCACAATGTCACCGCTTTGTATTATATTGAACCACAAAAAAAAAAAAATCTATTAAATGGATTTTAATTATTTTTATATTGCTTCATTAGCCTTTCTAACCAGTTTCCCCCAGACTTTTATGAACAGATGGCTAATTTTACAAACAGTAGTTTTACTTTCCAAAACAAATGAACATGAATGTGTGTTCCAATAAGGAAAACATTAAGAAGCTTTTGAAACTGGAGTAATACAGGTCCGTCGTTGTTTGACCTACAAATGTCCTAGTCATATGTCGGGCTGCAGCTAGCCATTGTCTTCAGTAAGGATTCATCTGTTGATTATTTTTGCAATTACAATAAGCAGTTTATTGTCTGTAAAATGGCAGAAAATAATGAGAACTGAACATTTTTTCGACGTGTCAAACGATCTAAAACCCAGACGTTTAGTTTACAACATAAAACAGAGAAAAGCAGCAAATCCTTACAATTAAGAAGCTCAAAGCAGAAAAGGTTTGTTTTCCCTAAAAGTAAATCAAACAAACAATCCATTATCAAAACGGTTGACTAGTAAGTTTCTTGTGATTGACTAATTGATTAATAGACTAATCACTGCAGCTCTATTGACTGTGGTTAAAGACCATGGCAGCTACACTGAACAGCCGCAACAAGTAGCGGTGACAGGATTATGGCACTAAATGACCTATTTTTAAATTTGTTTTATTATAGAACCATTGAGCTGTTTATCTGTGATGTGATAAAGTACTGCCTCTGTAACATCTATCTATTTTTTTTTTTAATTTTATTTCAATAGTTAGTCTCACTTTAAAGAAGAAAGGAAACACTGCTTTTCAGTCTGGTCACTAAGTTTTTACTGCCATTTGTTGGTTTGTTAACAGCATAGCTCAAAAGTTCTGAATAGATTTTGATGAATTTTTTGGGGAGGTGAATAGAGTCCCTGAACGAATCCATTTTTCATCTTGAATATCTTTCGAACTAATAACATCAGTGTAATTCCAAATACCAGCCGTATGTTTTCATGGTGAAGCAATTGTATTATTAGGGTCAAAATAGGATGGGAATACCACTTTTAGATGTAATGGCATTATGGGGCGGTGATCTCTGAGTGCTGTCTATATCAGCTATAACTATTTGTGATATATTTATGATTATCTGCAGTTGTAATAGTTTTTATATCACTAATGTTCTCTGGCTGTTTACACAGTCATACAAAAAAACTAGGTAAAAAGAAAAGCTTAAATTAACTTTAATTATACATTAGGTAGCTCATGTGGAAAAGGAACAGCTTTAACACTTGAAGCAATTTACATATACAACTTGAGAGAAAACAGGAGTGTATAGAAGTTTAACAGCGGAAATTTATTGAACATCCCCACGACTGACTTTCGTTAACTGTTAAATGAAGCAGAAGACCACCTGTGCATGCTACAGTAAGTGCCAGTGAACAATTCTGATGGAACAATCAAATCACTTATCACAGGTTGTACACAGGCAGCTAGTTCTACTTTAGTGACAGAAGCTTTTCAGCTTTCAGTGGAAACAATGATGATTCTGCTGGACCCATGTCTTTCCTTTCATCACCCTTCACCTAGACTTTTTCAACATAAGTGCTCTTTAGTTCTCAGGCATGAGAGCCCAAAGGTGCAGAGGCCTTCGTAAGACAGGAGTCACACCACAGCTGGGTACAGGTAACCACAGTATAGACACCAACCATGACATTCAGTCTGTTTGACCATGGAGTGTGGGAACGGAGTGCAGTTGTGGCAACTAGCTTATGAACAGTTTATCAGTCTGAATCTCTCTGACAGACTCTCCTGTGTCTCTCAGACTCCTTTGACCAGGACCACCGTCTGCCTGGGCTCGCCCTTCTGGCAGCAGCTGTCTGTGTTTTTGCCATTGTCGGTTCGGGGGCGGCGCAGGTTCAGAAAGCTGAAGCGTGATTCCAGGCTGAAGCTCTTCTTGGTGCTGGAAGTCGAGCAGTTTTTGGTGGCGGTGGGAGCGTTGTCCAAGTCGCCCTCTGTACCTTCTGCCCGGTCGCCTGCAGCACAGGAGAAGGTCAGTGAATTTCTTTTTTTTATGTAGACAGGTGGGCTGTAACTAAGTTTATCTTTTGGTCTCTAAAGCATCAGAAACCAGTGAAAAATACCTGCCACGCTCTCCTAGAGCACAAGGTGACGTCATTAAATGCCTTGGATTTGTCTGGCATCAAATTCTCACATTTCAAAATGTGAAACCATCAGGTTTATGGACATTTTGCTTGAAAATGGCAGATTATTAAAACAGTAGGTCTTTTTTTTTTAATTAGTTGGTCAGTTGGCTCTGATACAGTTTGAATCTCCCTCTTCATCTCTGTGCCCTTGTGAAAAGGCCAAATTTAGATTGAGGACAGGTTTAGGTTTCAGGTAATAAACAACTAAGTGGCATGTGACTTTTTTGTATTATAATTTTGTGTCGTGTCAAGTTGATCTGTTTTTTACAAAGTAGAGTGAACTAACGTTACTTTTTCTAAGGACCCTCAGTTGACCAAACTAGATTTCTCCCAGAGTAGCTCTGCTGGAGTTCAGCTTCTTCCAGTGTGAACTAACTGGTAACTTGCAAAGCTAAGTTAGTTAACACTGTCTCCAGGTGGAGCGCTCGCCCGCTGGCACTTTGACAGGCTCCTCTGTGGAGCAGGAGGCTTTACCCAGAACTGATTTAGCTCATCTCGCTTGGGTTTCTCTTTGTCACTTCTAACAGCATGTGCTGCAGAATGTACAGCCAGTGCTGAGCAGTTCTTATCTTAGAGCTGTTTAGAGCTGCAAGATTAGTCAACACAGAATTAATAAGCAGCTGTTTTGGTCACCAAATAATCATTTGTCATTTTTAAGCTAAAGAGTAAAGACTGGAAGCATTTCTTTGTCATACATGACAGTAAACCGAGTATTTTGGGCTGTTGATCGGACAAAACAAGACATTTAGACGTTAGGTTTCATTTATGGACAAAACAATTAATTAATTAAGAGAGAAAGTAATTGGCAGATTAATGACGATAATTGTTGATTGCAGTCTTATTATTGATTAATCTTTAAATAAAATATACATTCAGTAGTCAGTTTATGAGGAACACCCAGCTCAAACTGAGTCAGCCTAACCCAACAGTGCTGCAGTAAATCCTCCTTCCTGAAGGTGATGATGTTTGGTTTGTGGTTCACCTGTGTGGTCACTGTGCAGGCTGCAGTTTGTGGTGCTGTCCAGCTGCACTGTGTTATACTGAGAGCTGTTTCTGTTATTGTGTCCACCCCATCTGAATCAGTGAGGCTGGGCTACAGACCACAAACATCTCTGTGTAACACAGACTCCAGCCTCCACAGTGATCACACAGGTGAACCGACGCCTCTGCGAAACAATCTGAACACACACTGAACATTCTCACCTGCAGGGAGGAGGATTTATAATAAGTAGTGCTGGGGAAGCTTCAGTGAGAGCGCAGCTTGGCAACGTACCAGTGACTTCACACTGGAAGACGCTGAACCACAGCACAGCTACCCAACAATCTAGGTTGGTTATGTGAAGCTACTGAGGAAAAAGTAGCTCAAAGTACTTTGTAAAACAGCGATCAGCTTGATAATGTACATGTGATAAAAATGATAAAATATAGTACAAAGCCACATGCCAGCAGGAAATGCCATTCAGTGGAGTTTACAGTATTACCTAAGACCTAAACCTGTCCTAAATCAATGACAGCGGACTGTCTGAACAGCTCCTCCTCTCCGTGTTTGTTTTTAACACTGTCACTGGCTGAGATCCAGCTCTTCTAACATGTTATTAGCAAGCTAGTAAGGCTAGCTAAGCTAATGTTAGAGTACATGTAGTTCACTACTCCAACAGTGATTAGAAGACCGTTGGATTAGAGTGCACTGATACATGAGTATAAAGAATAGTTTATAATTTTATAGAGCTGGAGGACAAGCATAACAAACTGTTTGGACAGGGGGAGGGCACTAGAGCCCTGCTGCATTTGATCTGATTACCTAAATGTTGGTCTGGATGTGGAGACACATTTCAGCAGCTATTTTCCATCACCTACCTCTCTCCAGGTCACATTCAGGTGACGACGCTCCGCTACATTCGCTGCGAGGCCCGAGCACCAGCGAGATGAGGCCGAAGTCTGACAGCGACACAGTGCTGGGAAGATCCAGACTGCAAGGCCTGGACACAGGGGTCGGGGAGGACGAGGACGAGGAGACGGGAGTCAGTGACGGGGAGGCAGAGGAGGATGAGCTGACAAAGGGACAGGGTGACAGGAGCTCCTGGGGGCTGCTGGGAAATGAACCCAGACTGCATGTGGAGCGAGTCTCTGAGTCTTCTTCAGACATGATGTTACTGCCACAAACCTCATCATCGAAGCACATAGACGCCACTGAGGGGGAGGAGAGAGGAGAAAGTGAGACAAGAAGGTGGACATGGAGTTACTGCCTGAGAAGGAAGAAAAGGAGGAGATGATGCTCCATTGTGATGAGAGAAAGGGATATAAGGGGGATGGCAGGAAAAGGTGGAGGAGGAGGAAGAGAACAAAGTGCAAGAAGGTGAGATGGAGTGATGGGAGAAGGAACGTAGGAAGTGAAGGAAGTTGAGAATGTAAAAGGGAGCAAGAGAGTGGGGGGGTTAGAGAGGGAAGGGAGAAAGATGGAGGAGAATGAACAATAGAGAGAAGGATGTAGGGTGGAAGGTAAGACATGAGGGGAGAAGAAAAAGGAAGAGTGGAAGACAAGACGGAGGGAGAGAAGGGTGAAAATAGGTCAGAGGAAGAGGGACAGGGAAAGATGAGCAGAAGGAAGAAAAAGGGTGAATAAGTGTGAGCAAACAGATAAAAATAGAACTGAGGCAGTTCTGTCACATCACATCCAGCAGGTGTTGCATTTTCCAACATGAATCAAAGCAATGAACAGCGGCTCTTAATAATCTGCACAGCTCCACGTTTCTTCGTTATAAACGTTAACTGGTAGCATGTAATCGGTGCCTTATCTGCAGTTACCATGGTGACACCATCCTAGTATTCCACATTATATAGACTGATTCCTTCAGCTGTAGACTTGTCGCTATGTGTCCTCCACTGATCTGGATGTTTTCAATGTGTCAAGGTTACACACAGTGACTCGCTTTTACAGCTGAAGTCAACATGACTTAAGACCAAAAGGGTGACGTGACACAGATATGTTGCACTATACTCACTCGATATTTCGTCCGACTCCATCTTCAAGCTCATAAAGTTGTCTCCTGATACACTGTCGCCCTCTGCACCCACACCGCGACCCCGGGGACCCATGGCGGAGCTCCGTCGTCGCTCGTGGATCTCGTCGGAGATCATCTCCAGGTTCCTGAGGGCCGACTTGTACTCTCCTTTGGCCTGGGTCAGCTTGGCCTGTTGCTCGTCCACTGTCTTCTTCAGGTTCTGGAGGAGAGTAGGAGTGTTGTGATGAACAATAGACGACAATGCTATTGGACTCAGAGCACACTAATAAACATCCACAGAGACTAACAAAACCACTCCAAACATTTGGTGAACAGTTCTTGTGATTTGATTTTTTTTTAAACTGATGTTTTCTCAGTAATACAATTCTCTGCCAAGCTCCACTAAATTCCAGCACGACACCTGGACTGAAAAAACTATTAAAACCTGCCCTCATGTCAAGTCTCGTGATTTACTTGTAAGGCATGCATCGGTATGTGTGAGGTGAAAGTGCTCTGGACAGTCAACCATTTAATTCTGGCAGCATTTTCTCTCAAGATGAAATCAAACGAGGTCTGGAGACACTGCCACCAACGCTGGACTTGTTACTTCTTAGTTAATGCTGATTAGATATTGTCAGACTCTCTGTTGCACAGCACCCACTCATGTTAATTGTGCTCTTTGTTTTAAACACTTCCAACAGCTGTGATCTGAGCTTGAGTAAATCTCCAGTGTGATTCCAGTCTGAAGCACACAGACCTTTCTACACTACAGGGGACAAACCTCAACACTGTGGTGTGGTCAAGGTATTTAACTCTTGATGAAGATCCAACAGTGCTACATAAACCGCAGCGGTCACGTACCTCCAGCTGCAGATAGTACTTCGTCTTCATCTCAAAGTAGGGCCTGCGGAGGAGGAGGAGAGTGAGATTAGATAAGAGAGGGAAAACAGCAACCCATAAAAGAGCACTATCCAACATCATCACCATGGCAACCTGGAGGACGATGGGGAGATAACGGGGCTGTGATGTTGGATGAGTGAACAGATTAATACCCTGCTGAGGCAACACACAGCAAGGCTGGATCCAGACCGGGGGAAAAAAAAAAACCATGTACTGAACCAAGTGCTGGAAATTACCAGAGTTAAACATCCCTGTTTACTTCACTGGCTTTTAGTCTTTACCGTCGACACATTTCCTGATGCACCACCTCTAGGTTTAAGAAACTGTGATGGGCATGTTTGACCGTTTCCTGATGGACTATTTTCTCAGTTAATTAGAGAAAATAATTTACCTTTTTTTTATATAAATATTTAGACACAGTGGAAAAAATCTGAAGTCTAACCATTTCTTCCACTTTAACGTACAAAAATCTGATCTTTAACTAAAAGTCCAAAGCTGAGCAGCAGGCGATCTGAGAAATGCAGGACAAAAATATGACTGACACTTTTAAAGCACACGAGGAATGAGCAGAATCTGCTGAAATACTGAGGGGAACAGCTGTGTCATTTACCCTGTGATGTGGAGAGGAGAGACTCATGACTGTTCCAGATTTACCCAGACTTCTCCTTTAAACACCTGACTGCCTGCTGAAAACAGACCAGTGTGGCTATAATGTGGTTATGGCTGAGACCAGGTTTCGCTGCTGTGCAGAGCAGCCACCCTGAGCTAAATAGAGGAGGGCGATGCGATACTGACACGCTCAGTGGTGGAAGAACTACAGAAATGACTAACGTTAAAAGTAGCAATATCACAGTGTAAAAATACTTTTACAAGAAGAAGTCTTGCATCAAAATATACTTAAAGTACCAAAAGTAAAAGTACTCATTATGCAGAATAGCTAATTTTCCATTTATATACATCATATTTTTGGATTATATTATTGTGTACATCACATTTAATGCTGCAGCTCATCAAGGTGGACCTCATTTTAACTACCTTACTTGCTTATAATTTAAAGTACTGCTGGGTATTTTATGAATTTCCCACCAGGGGTCAATAAAGCCTGGCAATTATATTGTATTTTGTATAATTATTCTGATTCTGAAAAGTAACTAAAGTTATCAAATAAACGCAGTGAGTAAAAAGTACAATACTTGCGTCTAAAATGTCATTAAGTACGGATATCTCAACATTGTACTCAAGTATTTTCCAATTCTATTCTATTCAATTTTATTTGTATAGCGCCAAATCACAACATAAGTTGTCTAAGGACACTTTACAAAGTAAGGTCTAGACCCACGTACTTTCCACCACTGGATGAACGTTACAGTAAAGACACCAGCCCACATCAGGGTGGAACGTCTGGATGTGTTTAAACCTGCCTAGACAACCAGAAACCACATGGTCACCTCAGACGATTCCACCTCATCAGACCGGTTTTCAGCATCTGATTCAAGCGTGATGGAGAGAGACACTGTCCTGGAACCCGAGTGTGTGAGAGTGAGACGCATGACTCATCTAACGAACCTGTTGATGGGACTGGCACAAGGCTTTCCTTCTCTGTCTGCTGACATCCCCCACTAACAGCCGGTCGTGTGCTGACAGCCTGCAGTTCGCCACCTCGCTGTGACCACATGCTGCTGCAGTAACACGACCGATGCCAAATATTAGACCAGGACAGAAACAACAACAAGCTGTTGTTGTATTACTGCAGTACAACTTCTGTTCTCCAGAACAGATCTGACAAAACTCTGCTGCGTGAACTGTAGTTCTTGGCTTCAGCTAGCCAATTAGCCAGCAGGGAGAGCAGCTAAATTCCACTGAGCGGAAATGTGGGAAACTGTCAAACCACCGGTGATACAAACTGCACTATACAGCAGAATGGGAACATCCCAGGTCCCATAAGCACCGTCGGTTCCCTCGCTTGCATTTCAGTCCTGCCCACATAAGGTGCAAGAAAAACATGAAAGAAGAAAGAACTGGAGGAAACATGTTATTAGTGACATGAGACGTCCTTTCCTCAGATCCTTCATCAGACGTGTCTAATCACCAACTGATTTCTGATAAAGGGGCGTGTCAGTTCACAAAACACTTCCACAAATACTGGTCTTGTGGATTCTCGGTTATGGATCCTCCAGCACCGTCTTCGCTCCTACGTCCTCAGTTGACCAGAACTTTGTCATATTCTGACTTTTTGTAATATTACAACGTAACAGGACATTTCACAACTTTTCTCAACATGTGTCTCGATGTTATTCTAAAACTCTGACCACACTACAGTAACACTCCAGCACTAACATGGCCCGGTATGGATTTTACAGGTTACAATGCCATGAGCAGCCACATTAATAAACACATCATCCTGACGCAGGCGTCAGCGGCGCTCCCACTGACTGGGGCTCTTACTTGGACTTGTTGATGGTGCGTCTGAGTTTCTTCTCCAGCTGCTTCATATGGCCAGTCGCTGCTGTGTATTTGGCCGCTGTCTCCTTGTGCACCAGCTCGCTCCTGGTCTTGGACTGCTCTGCCTCCATCACCTGTAACAGCCAATCAGATATCACCATCAGCCACACACCGAGGCCAAACGATGTGCTGTCAGTGTAGGGGAGTACATGAAGGATAACAACAAGTTGGCTGAGAATGTCCGTTTTCAAAAGAAACAAATGGGGAATGTTCATGTACGCAAGTGAAATGTAGAGATATAATGGTGTCAGATCAATTCCCCCTCTCCCCCTCCTCACCCGCTGGGTGGCGTGGTTCAGCATCTCCTGCCAGGCAGAGTCAAACTGCCGGTTGTCCTCCTCCAGGAGCCGCTGCTCGGCCAGGGAGATGGTCTCCTTCGCCGCCCGCAGGACCTCGGTGGCTCTCTGGAAGTCCTGGGTGGCCTTCTGGGCCTCCAGCTGAGTCTGAGGGCAACACATAGAAGGTCACATGATCACAGCTGTTGTCAGTCAGTCCAATCACAGTTTAACAATTCCAGTAGCAACACCATTATGGACCACGCGAGTCTGCAGGATGTCTCTGTATTAAACCTTTTATCATTTTAAAAATCCATCAATACTTTTTGTGATGTTGTAATAAATTTTGTTGTTGCCTGAGGAAACCTTCAGTCAGCCCACCGTGTCAACGTTATGCCTGCAGACCCTATTTACAGCTACAATATACCTGTTACCTACAGTTAGATGGATCTGAGTCACTGTGGTTAACGAGGGGCAAACGGGTCAAACTATTTCATCATGATCTGAACAGAGAAATCACTTCCTAAATGTTACATCTGTTGGTTATGGAGCAGTGACTCGTTAATAACAACGAGGGCTCCATCATCTTTGTCTTCACGTCTGCCGCTGCTTGTGAATATTCAGACTGCATTCTACAACATCTTCATGAACCCGCTGTGGTGCTGCACACAATAAGGAGTCGTCATCAGATCGAGTTTGTAGAAAGCAAATCTTGGTTTTGTATTAAAGGTTGTTGCTGTCCCTCATTTTTCTGCTGGGTTGTCTCAGGAGAAACTACTGTTCTCCTCATCTGCAATGTACTTTTCATTAAGTTTAACATCTGGAGAATGGAATAGAAGTTCTAGTTCTTCGTGTAAGAAGCCTGAATGATGACTGAGTTTGGGCATCACCATTCTGTGTTTAGAATTTTCCAAAAATATGTTAGGACTGGAACCAACACCTGTTTTAATTACAGTTTAATATACCAATTTTTCCCCAATTACTAATCAAACATTACGTCGCCAAAATGCCAGACCAACTTTCCCAGAGACTGACATATGGATAGCACTTCTTTTGTTCAAACAATAGTCTAAAACGCAAATATTTCCAACTGACACGACAGAGAAAAGTAGGAAATCCTCACATTTCAGAATCAAGGAATATTTGTCTCTTTTGCTTGAGAAATAACTTTGACCATCAAAGTAACATGGCTGCTTCACTCCAGAAACTCGTGCATAAAGTACTTTGTGTTATTGAGTTTTAAGTCTACAAAAACTTCATAAACGCACAGTGAAGCAGAGACCTGGCCAACAATTACCCAGATGAGATTTTTAAGAATAGGAACTTTACAGCATGAAGGCCGAACAGCAAAGCTCACTGTTGTCCTGCTGGAGAGCTGCGTTACCCAAGACGTCACTGACATCACTCATCTGATTCACATGAAGCTGTAAACACGATTCAGCTGCTGACACAAGATAAGGCTGTTGTTTCCTGAGCAAAGGCCTCAGAGCGAAGGCAGAGGTTTGACTCTGTGCACAGCTACAGTAATCACCACATGCAACGGATGCAGGACCAGAGTCAGACTTCTCACTCATGTACGCGTTTTCAAGCGCAGGTCATAATGAAATACTTTACTTTTTTTGCAAAATTTACTAATAAACATCCAAATTAAAGGTAAACAATATTTAAATGAAAGAACAAAAGCATGTGACAACACTTCCTCTGGTCAGAAACATTTTAGCAATTTAGCTAGAAAATGAAAAACAATCAATTATCAAAATTTGATAAAAGAATTAATCCATGCAGCTCCAGATAAAACAGACAGGGATGCCTCTGTTTTTGGCTCATGAGTGAAGGAAACATCTGACAAACTGGTGTAAAGACGTCGTCCTCACAGTGTTGCCCACAATGACTCTGCACAGCCACAGATTAAAAAAAACAACCCAAGTATAAAACTAAGATGGAGAAGGAGTGACAACACTCTGTCTCAGTGTAAACTGTTCTGTGTCCCCTCTGTTGTCTCTGTGTTTACTGCACGTTTGTGTGTAGGAAGGTGTCAGCAGCACTAAACGAATCCTCACCTTCCCTCTACTTGTGTGTTAGCGGGAGCTGACGGCACTGACCTCCACCTTCTGCTCTGGGAGAGACAGCGCGGCGTGTGCAATTATAGAGGATGTCAGACTTGAGCAAAGACATTACATGAAGTGATGAATCATTGCAGACGCCTTGCAGTAAATCCCAGCGATCTGCCTGAGAGCATCACAAGCATTCTAACATCTTAAAGCAAAAACTGTCCGAACTCTGCTGCCTGTTCCTGCCCTGCTCTCTCCACCTCCATCTCTACAGGGCTCAGCTGGAGCCACACAGAGGCCCAGAGTCCACGCAGCATTAAATCTCTTCACAGAGACGACACAGTGCAAAAATAAGAAACGGCTGAAGAAAACTGAGGCTGTCTTCACAGTAAACAGTTCTGTTCAGAAAACAGACTGGTTTTACTTAGACTGAACTTCTGCGTACCGTGTAATCAAAGCAAAACTTTGTGCACGAGTTTTATAAATGAAATCAAAATGCACAAAATAAAAGCACCTTACAGAAAAGTAAATCACAACAACAGACAAACAAGTAAACACAGTGTGAAAACCATGAAGTTGACATTTCATTCCTGTTAATCCTAGTTTTCTCTTAGTGGTGTCAACATGTCAGCTGCAGGCACGTCACACGTCAACGCTTCATCCTTCAGCCGGCGTTCAAAACCAACGCCAACGTGAGAGAGTAAAGGAGAAGGTGAACGAGGGAGAGATGAGCGGCAGGAACAGAAGGCAAATCAAAGCTGCGGGAAGTAAAAAATAAAAAGACAAAACACCGTCAGGCATTGTTGACTCGTTTGTGCTGCATGGTCAAAAGTAAGCGGACACATGAACATTACAGCTATGTGTGATCTGCAGTCAGGAAAGAGCACAGAGACAAGACACTGGACAATAACAGGCTGTGACAACAGCTACTCTGCTACACAACTGCAAAGCTCCCCCAAGAACGTGAATTCTCATTTAAACTCACAAACAATTTATCTATCTACCGTTCTAATTCATACAGAAGTTGTTTGAGAAAAGAGAAACACCGAGAACAAAATCCTACATTTGGACGAGACGGAGGAAGGACAGATGGACATGGACTGACGTCCACAGAGCTCCTGATGAAGTAGCTACTCTCACTCAGCACACAGTTTACCATTTACTTGCCATTTTTTTGTATTTACTGCTGCTCGTTAATAGTTGATCTGAGTGCAACTAATTTTTCAGCATTAGATGAGAATATGTTGCTTTTTGTCTCAACATTATAGTGACCTGGACATGTATGGATGCAAATCCTTGGTTGGACTAAAAAAAATCTCCTTGGGCTTCAGGAAACAGGCATTTCTCAGTGTTTATTGATATTTTATCCACTGAACGACTGAGACCATTATCAGTTAGATGAATCCCTTAATTATTGCTTCCACTCACACTCACGATGTCAACGTTTAAACCGGTAAATTTAAACTAATCTTAATGAGAACAATAGGCAGAGACAAACGATTACAACCCATCGACATCACAAACCGCTCCTGTCCCGACACCAAGACTCGGTCCAGCTTGGTCTTTCCATTACTGGCTGCTGTCAGTAGGCTGCCCTGCTCCTTTGGACATAACAGCCCTACTGTGTTTTGTGCATGTGGTTGCAGCTGTGTTGAAAGAGGACATGACTTCCCCCAACTGTCACCACAATGATGACAGATCGTGGCTGTGGGAAATGTCATTTTTAATGCTGTAGCCGTTCCCTTCAGTGGGACCAACACAGCAACGTACTGACAGGGTGACAGAGCAACTTCCGTCTCCACGGCCTGGTCTACAAAGGTGTGTCACCACAGCCGATCACTTCTGCTTTCAACAGTGTGTGCGCTGCACCACACTGACTGTGCATGACGAGAACATCTCAGTTCTCTATTTTCGATCTTTTAGTCCAACTCTCGTTTTCATTTCCTCCATCCCCTTCCCGGAGAATCTTTTCCACTTCCATCTCTGCTCAGTTGTTTGTGTTCCTGTCTTTCTCCACCTTCTCTTCCCATCACTGTTCCAGTTTTTCCTCCTCCCTCCCTTTCACCCTCTCCCTCTCTCTCTCTCTCCTTCTGTTTCTATTTTTACCCACCTCTCCCTTTCCTTTCTTTCTCCCCGTCACTTCCTATATCCCACTTAATCTCTCTTGCTTGCCACATATCTGCCTGCCGGCCTTTTTCCCATCTCGTTTAACTTTGCCTTTCTGTTCCTCCTCAGCGTTGCTTCTCCTCTCACTCCCTCTTATTCACTTTCCCACATCTTAATCACTGTGCTTCCACCCTGTGAAATGTTCAGAGACAAGCCTCCGGGGGGAGGCTGAGAGTAAGTAATACAGGAGAGTCCCTCTCAGAGCCGCTGCATGTGGAGAAACAGTTTGGCTCTGTGGGTGCTTCAGTTATTACACCAGCTTTAACTTGTTAAGTCAAACGAGAAATGGAAAAAGAAGCATGAAGACAGGGAGGACAACGGGTAGCACACATGAACACCCGGGTATCACTTGGATCTTTTCGGTTCAGTCTTTCTTACCGATGCTTATGAAATCCTGTTTTCATTTAGGCAGAAAATTTGAAAGATGATAAAAAGCAGAAACAGTTTTTTCAAACTTGTTGTGTTGAAATGTGTCATTTGCATAAGAGATGTAATTGATTACATCCACATGTCATTTCAGCCTTAAATAAATATCTCAATTGTCTCTTATGCAGAAAGTAAATGAGAAAAGAGAACGGGCCCAATTAAAGTTATTAAGGAGACAGATCAAATTCCTCCTTGATCCGTGGGCCAAACAAAAAACAGCCCTTGTCCAACAAGAGGAAATCGAACCAGCAGCACTTCATCCTTATTTTTAAATTTCTATTACTACCAAAAATAAATAAATAAATCCAACAATGTATCAGCTTTGACATATCAAACACAGCACCGTTCCACGTCCTTCACAGTCAAATAACAGAGAACAGACTGAACATCAGTCGGGTCTTAACATGAAACTAGCTGAATATGAATATTCAGACTTGCATAAATACAGTATATTATCAGTGCCGTCAGTCGAACGCCCGTAGTGGCCTTCAAAACCTCGTAAAATGACAAAGGAAGAGAGATAGG